TGGGTTTTTAGACTAGAGGTTCCCTACTTCCCACAAAGGCCTCTTTCTGAATGAAGCTGTGATATTACAGGGTCACACATTCTCTTGTCTGTCTCCCAGTCAGTTTTCTGCTTCATCCAATCTTATTTTATTATAACCAACACACTGTCTAGCCCACAGCAAACAAGACAATGCTCACAGAATAAAGTTTTTACTGATATTTTCCTATAAACTATTTTGTGATAATGGTAGACAATCTACCTAAAGTACTTGAAGATATGTTAGGATTCACAGGAGGCTTTATCAGGACATCAGAATCTAATCTACACCATTTTCTAAACCAGCAGGTGCTGGCTTCTTACAATGATCAAGGCACTAAGCCAAATTCTTTGTGGATTTCCAAAATTCTTTCAGTAACCCTACATCCTGAAACACCATGTTATTATTAAAGATTATTAGTGACACTTCAATAACAAATCCAAGTTCACACAAAGAGGAGTGCCACAACAAGAAACCAAAGCCAATGCATCTTTTCAACCTATATTCTTAATCATCATGCATTGATAAGATTCTTAAAATTTGCTTTTGCTCATGAAACAAGGTGGCAATTTGTGTTAATGGTTAGTTACTTATTGTAGTTTGCCACAGTCTGAAGGAGAAATGTCCCCTACAGGCTCCAGTACCTGAACACATGTTCCACAGTTGGTGGCACCCTTTGAGGGAGTGATGATTCACTACTGGGTGCTATGAGAGTTCATAGCCTCTCCCTACTTTCAGTTCCTGCTTTCCACTTCATGTTCACTGTAGAAGATGTAATAGCTCAGCTTTCTCTCCTGACACTACGCCTGTCTCTTGCTTCCATACCTCCCCACCAAAAAAGACTCAGGAACTATAACCAAAATAAACTCTTCCATGTTTTTTGTTTGTTTGTTTGTTGTTTGTTCATTTTTTGTTCTTTGTTTTAGGTGTGTGGTGTTTTATCACAGCAACAGAAATGTAGCCAACGCACTGATCAATTACTACACCCTGGCTAATTCCCTATTCAGTTCTTTGTAGTGGAGGTGCCAGTTGGCATTCTCACAGGCACACACGGGAACACATTAGCTAAGGGAAACAACTCTCACAGTTTCAAGATGGTGCCAGGTTGCTATTGGGAACCTAATTACAGGTGGTATTTTTTTTTAAAGATCTACTTTAATTTATATGACTCTGTGAGTGTGTGTGTGTGTGTGTGTGTCTGTTCCTCTGTCCATCCGTCTGTTTCTGTGTGTGCTTATGTGAAGATACGTGAACGTGAGTTGTGAGTGCAGGTGCCAGTAGTCACCAGAAAAGAGAGTCAGATCCCCTGGAATTGGAGTTAGGGCTGCCTGTGACTAGCCTCCTGAAGCAAGCATCGAGAGCTGAGCTCAGGTCCTCCGCAAAAGCAATGTGCACACTTGACCGCTGAGCCATCTCTCCAGCCCCAGAAGGCATTTTCCTTTTAAAATCCTGGGAATTTTTAAGATGTCACACCACAACCGACAGAGTGGGACACTGATAAGAACAAGGTTGCAAGAGGAGATCGGTGCATACTTAGATGGTAAAATATATACTGCAAGAAACACACACCCCGCAGACCGCAGGCTTATACGATAATAAATAACAGTTATCACCAGGACAAAGGAGAGAATGCCGTGAAATCCAATAGCTCAGTGAGAAATCTGCTAATACAGGTGGCCAAGCTTGTTCCATTTCATTGTCAAACGGAGGCTATTTATTTTCTTCTGGGTAGTTAAATTACAGAGCCATTTATTGCTGAAACTTTTCCAGTGGGCAGACAGGAATGTAAAGCAGGCTTTGGGCTCAAACTTACTGAGGAAAAGAAGTGAGGATTTATTTCACAGACAGCACAACTGAAACTGTAAAATCCTTCGGCAAGTCTGCAACTGAGTGACTCCTCACATACAGCCCAGTCAAGCACTCCAGGGTTTGCACCTTGGAGATGGGTCAAGGTTCAAAGCAGTGACTAGACTGAATAATCCCTTCTGAGGCTCTTTAAATGATTGCCAGTGTAGACAGTTTCCTCACTTAGTAATAAGTCAGTGATTGATGGTGTGTGTGTGTGTGTGTGTGTGTGTGTGTACATGAGAGCGAGAAAGAGACAGACAGACAGACAGACAGACAGAGGATTCCTTACATACAAGAAATCTGAAAATATTAAAGTCAATGTCAAATTTTTGCCTGTTTTAATACAAAAACTTAACTATATGCATTATTCACCTATCATTTATCTGTCGTCTACCTACCTATTATCTATCATCTGACCATTGTTTTCAGTCAATCTCTTTATCTCTTCAGAATTTAGAGACAGCTCTGTTTATCTATAAACCACTGCTATCTGATAGCTTCCAAAATTTAGAAATTTTATAAATAGAATGGACCAAAGACTTTCCAGTAACCATTTTCTTTTAAAAATTTATTATTTAACTGTATGTATATATTTCTCTATGTGTGTGTCTTCTGTGTGTTTGTGTCTGTCTGTGTGTGTGATGAATACACACACGCATACTGTGCATATACGTATGATGGACAATTCTGGTCTGTCTCTTTTCTACTTCCACTGTGTATGAGCAGGGGATCAGGCTTGCATCTCCAGCTTCACAGCAGGTGTCTTTATCTTCTTAGCTGCCCTTCAGCGTTTCCATTTGTTTCTTAAAAGAAAAAAATATTACCTTATTTTAAAACTTGGTGTGTGTATGTGTGTGTGTGTGTGTGTGTGCGTGTGAGAGAGAGAGAGAGAGAGAGAGAGAGAGAGAGAGAGAGAGAGAGAGAGAGAGAGTCTGTTTGTGGGTATGTGTACTTGACTTTGAGAGTTCTTAGAGGCTAGAAGAGGGCATTGGATGCCTTGGAGCTGGAGTTACAGGAAGTTAGTTGGATTCTGGGAAACAAACCCAGGTCCTGTGTAAGAGACACAAGTACTTTTAACCAGAGAATCATTTCCCTAGACCCCACATATATATTGTTTTTAAAGACTTATTTTTAATTTTCAAAAATGTATATGCCTGTGGGATACAGGTATATGTGTACACAATGTATGCACATATGCATGTGTACACTTGAGTGCAGTTCCTGTATAGATCAGAAGAGAGGGTCAGGTCCCCAAACCTGGAGTTACTTGAGGTAGTGAACTGCCTAACTTGGATGCTGGGAACTAGATGGAGTCCTCTGTAAGAACAGCAAGTGCTCTAACCACTGAGCTATCTCTCCAGCCCCACTCTCTTCTCCTTCTTAAGCATTTTCATAATCATTTCTTGACTCAACCAACAGCCACGCTTGATCACTTGTTTCCTGGGTACAGGAAATTGCTACTTCAGTTGCCATTGACTCTTGCCAAATAACCTTTAAACCAGGATATGCATGCAATTTCCTGACTAATTAAAAGTATTAACTCCATCAATCTTAATTCCCGACCAAATCTAAAGCTTCCAGGCATAATCCTGACAAAGAACATAATACACAGCTGGGAGAATTCTAATTTATATTACCTTGAATAATGAGGTGAGGGGAAAGGCAATGAGCCCACCATCATTACCTAAGAGGAAAGTGGCTTGCATGGTCTCACAGAGGAGACCGTGAACAGATGTGATCCACACATACTGGTCAGAACACAGCCACAGCTGCTAGGATCAAATGCTGATCCTCTAGAGGTCTGAGGTTGATGCTGGAAGATCTTACCAGAGAGTGTACATGATCATAACACAAGACAAACGGCTGGAGCACCAGATAACTCCATCATTACATCACTTATTTCTATGGCAACAGGGCTGGGGAAACTAGAAACACAAGCAGGGGACAGATGCCCAAGATTTCAAGGTCTGTTGCCCGTGGCATCTAACAGTTTGAAGATCTGGGGATTATAAGTTCAGAACTATTAACAGAAAGAATGTTCTAAACTTAGACTGTTTATGACAACCCCCAATGGCTACTGGTAGAGCATCAATGTCTTCAACATTCAAATGTTTTCAGAGACATTTTAGCTGTTTACTCTTACTTTTTTTCTCTTTCTTCTTCTTCCTTTTGTTTTGGAAAGAGGGTCTCACTGTGTAGCCCTGGTTGAGATGGAACTCTATTGTACACAGCAGACTGTCCTTGAATTCACAGACATCTGCTTGCCACTGCTTCCAGAGTGCTGGGATCAAAGTGCCCAACCACACCTAGTTTGTATCATGATACTATCTCATTAGAGTCCCAAATTAAAAATGGAGACAATGACATGGTGGTATACATTGTTCCCAGGATCCATATTGTGTCATGAAATAGGCCGATTCTTCTAACACTATGGTAATCATGACACGAAATGATCAAAAGCAATTTCACATTGACATAAAAATTCATCACAGTTTCACATGCAAGGTCCCAGACAACACATACTACGTAGCCAAAAATAATTACTGAAAAATGATGAATACCAAGAAAAATGCTCTCCAAGTAAACCCTGGGCATGTGCACCAAAGTGAAAAATCCATCATTAGAGACAGAGGACACCAGTAATAAGCCTGCATGAATCAGGGAAAAAGCCATCATCCGAGAAACAGCCCCCAAACATGGAAGAAATAAGAAAGTTTTTAGTACATATGAAATCAATGATAACTTTCTGTACTACACCAAAACTCCGGTGACTAGGAAATTTCTAGACACCAGTACATACATGTATATTGAGTCCATCACTGCTGACTAGGAAAAGTTCTAGACTCTCATATGTATATCTCATTTTTCAGGCAAAACAGAGCCCTCCACATGTATCCTTTAAATACCATGTCACCACAACCAAAGAGCTCATTTATAACCACACACCGAATCAGGGAGATGAGAACGAGCCGAGTCTATCACATCGTTCATTTTCCTTAACCATTGATCATAAAAAGAACGTAAACCATAATTTGGGGTCTGCTCACTGCAAGGGACTAATATTTGATCACACACAGATACACACACACAAAGGGAGATCGTGTGCACAGACTCTCTTGTCTGAGCAGGCTTACCTTGGCCATCTGTGCTTGCACGCCATTTGCCTTCAGGGATGCCACTGCTTTCTGTGCGGCTGCAGGACTATCAAAATCTACAAAACCGTAACCTGCCAAAATACAAAGTCTGGCATTAATTATCACAGGCAGGCAGACACACACCTCAGACTTACGGTCGTCTCTGAATTCATTGCTGCCAAATAAAATTTGGCTGGACCCAAAGGCTCTTGTATCTGTTGACCTGAGTAGTTTTATGTGTTATCTCAGTATCTCTAGATATGAGGTAGGTGGATAATTCATTTTCCCGAGCACTTTATAGACTGGGTGTGCAAGGTGATGTCCATTTAACACTAACCTGACAGTTAAGGCAACACTTTGCTTCATTGTGTTCTTTCTGTTACAGAATTGCTGCAAGAGCGGGGAGGAGAAAACCCTGGAAATCCAAACATAAGTGTCTGAAGCTAAAATACACTTTGCAGACCTTTAAAGACCCTGATACTCATAAAAACCACAAGAACTGGTAAGTGTGACAGTCAATGTTAACTCTCAACTTGATGAAACCTAGAATCACCTGGGAGATGAACCTCTGAGTACATCTGTTGGGGGTTACCTTCTTTATGATAGTAACATGGGAAGACCCCTCTTAATCGTGGGTAAGAACATTCCCTGGGAGGGGATCCTAGTTCATGTAAAATAAAAACCAGCTGAGCCCTTGAAGTAAGTGCTCCTTCTGGTCCTTGACTGTGTATATGACGTGACCAGCTGCTTTAAACTCCTGCCACCGTGACTCCTCTGCCTTGAGGATTGTGCCTGGAACTAAGCCAGAATCAACCCTTTCATGGTTAAGTTGCTTTTCCAAGGGTGAATTATCACAGGAGAATGTAAAGAAGCCAAGACACTAAGGTTATTGTTGGATGCTGTAATGGTGCTTGTCCTGCAGCAGGCAGCCAATAGATACATCTTGGCTGTACAAATAAATAAAGGTTGTAGGTTAGAGTAGGAGTTTGAAGCTAGTTTTACTTGACCACTCAGTCCAGGCTTCTAAATTAAGTATAGGAGTTTGTTTCTCTCAATAGCAGCTCAAGTAGTTGATTTTTAATATTTTGAAAAAATAATTCAACGGATACATATCCAAGTCTCAAAAGGCAAACACTGAATGACTATCTTGCTTATGTGGGGGCATAAATTCATGGCGCTGTTTGTGTGCATAATTAAGAACATATAAAAGGTCAGGGAAATAAACAAAAAACAAATAGTTGATAAGATTCAACAATGGAGAGTGCACACCTGTGATTCTAGTATTCCTGAGATAGAGGCAAGAGAATCACAAGTACAAGGTCAGCTTTGGCTACCTATTGAGTTTAGTGCTAACCTAAGGTACTTGAGATTATGTCTTGAAAAAAAAAAGGAAGGAAAGACAATAGCAACTGTATGTGTGTAGGCATGTAGTGCATTGTGGTTTACATGTGAATGTCCACCACAGGCTAGTGTGGTTTTACACTTGACTGCCAGAGGTGGTGCTATTTGAAGAGGTTGCAGAAGCTCTAGGAAGTGGCACCTTGCTGGAGGAAGTGCATCACTGGAAGGTAGAGTTGGGGGATTTGTAGCCTGTCCCTACTTGCTGTTCAGTCTCTGCCTCCTGTATGAAGGTGATATGTGATCAGTCAGCTTTCTGCTCCTGCTACCATGCCTTCTGTGCCTAATGCCGTGCCTTCTCCATCATAACATAGTCTATCCCTCTGGCTGTAAGGACAAAAGTAACCACTTTCTCCCCTCAGTTGATTTTTGTCAAGGAATTTTAACACACCAAACAGAAGAAGATACTAACACACAACCATATGCACATTACAAATATCATATATGATATACATTGTATATAATGTCTTTTTTATATATGACACATACAAACATACACACATGTATGTGTGTATGTGTGTATGTGTTATATGTGGATGTCCATATGTGTGTGTGTTCCTAGAAAGCCTGTGGATGTATCAACACATCTTCTCATCCATGAAGACAGGTATCTGTCTTGTTATTTGAAGCTTGTCTTATTCAGGGCTCTGGGCCTGCCACTGAGGCAAACACACCATTTGTGTGCTATCAGCCACCTCCAAACAAGAGTGTTTGGGAATTCAATTACCAAGTTGTTTCTTTTAATTAACTTTTTAATTTTCTCCCCTTGAATCCCGTCTTTCTTTTCTCCCTCCCAGCATGTTATCCCAAAGTGAACTTGCTACACAGCAGCATACCAGCAAAACACTGTCACAAACTGGGGCCAGGGAGGCTGTCACGTTTGTGCTTCTCATACATAGGGAAGTGTGTTCTGCAAGGGCTGGTAATTCTTCTCTCCAGGTGATAAGATAAAGTGTCAAGAAAAGCAGAAGGAGAAAGGAAAGTCAAGAACCAGAGTTATAGGCAAAGGCACAAAAACTCCAAACTTACACATCATTGCCCACAGGTCAGGTCTTGTTCTGAGGGCTTAAGGAGCTAGTATGTAATGAAGTCAGCATTGTGTTCTATAATACTGACTCCAGATCCATTGTATGAGAAAACCAAGGCACAGGTGACCTTACACAACTTGCCAAAACCACCAAAGCTGCTAAAGGGTAGGGCCACAATTGGAACCCAAGTCTGCATAGAAGTTAATCAGACCATACAAAAAACTGTTTCTAGTCCCCTCCCTGAAGCCTGAGCCTCTGAGGCCCCTCAGAGAAGGGACTGAAAATTCCTTGGAGTTTGAAGTTAGAAAACAAGTTGTCATAATTCCATGAAAGGCTTCTCCACCTCATTCTCTTTGCATGTGGCTTCCTGGGGGACCTGGGCTTGTATTGCATCTCCTTATAGGAGGTGTGGACAAGGGAGCTAGAGCTGACCTTCATTCAGCTGGAGCTCATTCTGCCTTCTTGTGGTGAAGCTCTGCTTCAGGTACTTGACTCAGCATGATATATAATGTGGGGGAAAGAACAACTCCATTTCCCACTCTAATGTGGCTTATTATTTCAGAGAGAGACATAACAGAATGGCCATACTGAGGAATCTGCAGCTCTCTAGTGTCATGCCTTCCTTGATATAAAAGAGAGCGGGAAACATAGAGTGTGTGCATGTTGATTTCTCAGTACTGAAAAGCCCCTGAGAAGCTCTCTTTCTAATCAGAGACTGGATAGTGATGGAGAAGGTTGGCAGTCAAGATGAAGCAATTACTATGGCAGCAATCCAGAAGAAAGGCAGCTGGCCACTCCACACTGACTGACATGGAGGAAGTGAGGGAAGGCAAATAGGGCATGATGATGGATGGATCAGTCTGGGAGTAAGGGAAGGGTGGACGACACAGATTGTTGCTAGGTCATATTATGTTTTCCTTTGCCATAAGCCTCTGAGTGGGGGAGCTGTGGTTTATTGAAGTGAAGAGTCTGGAGGAGGATTCACCAGGAGTGAGAGACAACTGAAGACATATTCATTCTAAACACCTGTGACAATCTATGCAGTCATATTGCAGTTGGTTATTGTGATGGTTAGCTCTGAATGCCCTCTTAACACAATAGAGAATCACCTGGAAGGGATTCTTCATGAGGAGTTGTCTAGATCAAGTTGACTGTGGGAATGGCTGTTCAGGGATTGTCCTGATTATGTCAACTTATGTGGGAAGATCCGTCTCACTATGGGAGGCTCCACTCCCTAGGCAGGGATCTCTGAACTGTGTAAGGGTGAAGAAAAAGAGTTGGGGAAAAAACATGAATGTTTTTATTGCTGTCTGCTTTGGATCATGGATACAGCGTGACTAGCCACATCACATTTCTGCTGTTACCTTCCTGCTAGGATGAGTTGACATAAACACTTTCTCCTTCCTAAGTTGGCTTTGTCAGGTATTTCAACACGGAAACAGGAAACAAAATTGACAGAGACATATTAGGCTGGCACCCGGTAAAAGAGACATATTAGGCTGGCACCTGGTAAAATAAGCTAAGATTATAAATACATATTAAATGGACAACAACTTAAAAATGCTAGTTATGGAAAGAGAAAAAATGATCTAGAGTAGGTTTAGATTTCGACTTGAACAACTTTGGCCTGTAAGTCTCAGAAGCAAGTTTGCAGGGAAGAAAGACCAAAGCAGAACCAGAGAGGGTGACAGACACAAACAAGTACATATCCTCTCATAGCCAGGCAAGAAAAGGTCCCAAGGGGAAAAGAGAATCAGCCATGGCAAATGCAGCAGGGCATGCATGGAAGCATGTGAAAATGCCCAGTGCCTTTAAAAACACAGATGTCCGGGAAATGTTAAAGTCTGAAGCTTGCCGGGTGAGAGGAGTAAGTAGGGGTAGATGAGGGAAGGAGGAGGTGTAGATAGGCTTTATAAAAGGAAGTTAGCTTGGCTAATGGGGAGTGTTGAGAGACAAAATTAGATAGCAGAAGATATGAAGTCAGTGGTGGGGGGCTAGATGTATATGAAAACATATATATTCAAATATACATGTGTGTGGAACCCAGTGCTCAATCCAGGTGTCATTCCTCAACCTTAGGTGTCATTGCTCGACCTTAGGTGATGTCGTAGGACCCATCTACCTTGCTTATTGAGACATGGTGTCTAATGCACATGAAACTTATGGTATAGGCAAGACTGGGTGGCCAACAGGCCCCAGGGATCTGCCTGTCTTCACCTTCTACCACTGTAATTACAAATACATGTCCTCACGCCCAGTATTTCATACAGTGGCTAGGGATTAAGCCTAGAGCCTCATTACTCACTGAATACACTTTATTGACTGAGCTATATCTCCATCCCTCAACTGAATATTCATTTTCTTTTTAAGATTGTGTGTGTATGCGTGTGTCCTCATTCTTGTGAGAAGTCAAAGTAAATGACTAAAACTCATTTTGGCCATTCAGTACTTACTGACTAACTACTTCTTTGCATATTCTACTTCTTTGCAGTTTTGAGAAAATAGGGAAGTAGTGAAAAATCAAGCTGAGAAGAGACCCAAGATTCGTGAAAACAAGAAGATAATTCATAAAATATCCTTTCTGGAAAGGTACAGGCCCAGGCACATTTGCACAGACATGGGCATGCTGCCCCAGCACCCACAGTCTCTGGAAGGAAGAAGCACCT